TTGTAAAAATAAAGAAGAATAGATTCAGTTTAACACAAATGTGATGCACTTTTTGGCTACCGAAACAATAGTAATTTTTTTTTATTGTTTAACGTCAAATATCTTTTTAGTTATTGATTATAAACACCTAAAAGTAAATAATTTTAGAAAGACAATTTAATAATCTTTTAAATGCAAAAACAATAAATAGGGTGTTCCATTTAAATTTTTTAAGTTATTGAACTTTTAACAAACGCCTTCATTTTTTTATCTTTGCAAATGCAACACATTAAAAAATGTTACAACCTTATAGCTTGTACCTTCTTCTTTGCGATAGTAAAAAAAATTCTACATGTCTTAGTTTTTGTGTAATAAATTTTTTAAAAGTGCATGATTTCGTCAAAAAACCGTCTTATTTTTAAAACTATGCAAAATCAACCAATAAAAGTTTAGCTTAAATTTTGCCACTTACACTAAAGCTTTTTATTACAAATTTTTCAGTGCTCGATGCTTATTTTTGCACAAAAATGCATTTTTTGTTATATATTTTAAATTTTAGGTCAAGGTTACGTGTACAAGACTCATTTAGTGTCAAATAGCAATTAAAACGTTAAATAAACATTTGTATGTTTACACCGACGTTTAAATTAATAATTATTCGCAGATTATTTACCACTTATTCAACCATTGCGTTTTGTAATTAGTTCTTTTTCTCGTTTGCATGTTTGCAAGTCGTTGGTTTAAACATTGCTATTTGGCAAACTTTGTTAATTAAGAAACAAACTAGATTTTGGAAATTAACTCATGTTTGTTACTCTAAAATCGTTTTATTAACAATTTCTTTATATTAAAAAGCTCATTTATTCTGAAGAATAATGAAGTTCGGAGAGTCTGTTTTATTTAATTTCCTTTGTTATCTTTCTATTACATTTTTCATTAAATTAAAATATACAATTTTTGTATCTGTTGGGAACCTCAACTAGGACCCTCAGTTTTTTCTTTAGTATTTATTATTCATTTTGTAATATTTTAGTGGGATAATTGTGTTTGCATAAGCAACAGAAATAGCCGCCCTGACCCGCATTATATTGATTTAATGATTAACATAATAAATAACTTAAGCATTAATTTCTTTTTTCACATTATCTTAGAGCGCAATATTTTATATGGTTAATGCAGGTTCTATCTATTAAATTTTATCGTCTTTAGTGTTAAGCGTAAAAGCCTTTCGAGTATATATTATATCTGCTCGTATAACTTTGAATGTTTATTTCTCCCTCGGGTTAAACCTCTTAAAATAAAGGGCTTATCTGTTTTGGGACGCTTTATCTGGGCTCGATTGATTGGTTATTGCACAGCAGACAGGATCATGTGTGAACTTGAATGATATTTATTGGCTATCGAGAAATAATAGCTCGATAGATTAAACCACAAATCATTTTTTTTTCATTTAGTGGAGACAATCAATATACAGGGTGCGCCAGAACTAGTAAAAATTTTGGAGTTTTGCAAGAAGAAGTTTTCTCAAATCAAAAAAATAATAGAGAACTAATTAATAGAGAATAAAATTAATCCTTGTGTTTTTTATTCGAAGTATTGAAGAAATAATAGAGTTATTGTAATTTTATTGTAAATTTGTAAAGACTAAAAATAACTATCTAACCCAAATGTAAATATATTTTTTTTATAAATAAAATAATGTTGTA